AGTTTTTTTGCCCAACGATCGAGTCTTCCTTTTTTTCAATTACTTCCTGGAACTCGCCTGTTCGTTTGTGTTGACAATCTATTTGGGCGCGATGCCCTCCAATCGGCCGGACGATGGGAAAGCTTTGACTTTCGTGAGGCCTCAACCAATTCGCAGATGCAGTTTCTGCACAGGTGTCTTGACAATAACGTGTTGCCGAAGTGTGTTAGACACAAACTTTCGCATAACACGGGGGCGGGGAGACTTGCAATGTTTCAACATGACAATAGAATGATTCTTTTGATTCTCCAAGATTGCTACAGGAGGCTACTGTCAGATAATTATACAAGAGAATCCTACTTATAGTTCATGTTTTGCGCACCCGACTAAATCTATTGGGTTGCTGACGTTTCGGACAGTTAGGCCGGCTGTCCTTTGTCGAAGCGTATACTGACTTTATCAATCAGCAAATTTAAACTTGCGACTGTACGTGTTGGCCGTGTGCTGATCGATTTTTCTCCGTTCGTTGCTTGGCTTTCCGTGTGGATTTTGGCATTGATTGATCGCATTTGGTGTTCTGTTCCGTCCCCATGGTAGAGGATGCTGGTAATCCTGCTCCCTCTTCCGACGGTTTCGTCACAGGGCCGTCTTCGTTTGCAAATCCTGACTTCGGTTTGACCGTTTCCTTCCCTTTACTTACGTAATGGCGTAGGACTTTGTAGGCCTCTGGCAGGCCCAGATGCCTGCTGACAGCGTTGGCGTCTGAGTACCATGACCCAAGCTTCAGTCTTTCCGCTTTTAAGGCTTCTCGGCCTGCGATGGTCGCTCCTTGAATATCGAAGTTGTGGCTAGTCTCTCCGATATGTGTTGCAAGCTGTGAGTTTGGATCTAGTCTGTGGGCTGCCGCTTTGTGTTCGTGTAGGCGGGTCTGCAATTTGCGCTCTGTTTCTCCAACCTAATTACAGTTTCCATCGTTGACAGGTATTTTGTAGAAAACTGCTGAGGTTTCAGCAGGGAGCCGTCTGTGTTTAGGTTGCATCACTCGGCGACATATTTTCGCCTGAGGTCGATGGGCTATGCCTACTCCAGCGGATTGCAACAGTCGAGAGGCTACTTTGGAGACTTCCTCTATGTAGGGAATGGCCATCCAGACTTCTGGTTGCTGTTTTGCTGTCCGTCCTCTGTTTACTCGGCGCTTGCTTTGATTGATAAAAGAAATCTTTTCCCGCGATTCTGACTTTTTCAAATTTGAAAATACTACCTGTATTTTGTGATCGCTTAAGCAGATTTTGTCGAGGCCGCAGATTGGCGGGCATTACAGAAGGACAATTGGTGTTCAACTTCAATAGGTTCTTCGGGAAAGAGAATTTTTATTTTGTGAATTTTCGAA